TTCAAGGCATAATATCAAGTGCCTGTGAGCTGCAAGATAACAATCATTCCTCCCAGTTTTCCCCTCAATCTCTTCCTAAAACCATCCTCTTTCAACTTGAATTCATAGTAGCTTTTCCCTCCCCATGCCATACTTTCCAGGACCTCCCATCACAAAGACAGTAATCATATTAATGGACAATCTCAGCATCTCTCAGAAAGCAGCAAAATAAAAATTTCAGTGCTCAAGTTTTAATACATCAGAACTGTCCCACTAACTTGAGCCTAATTTACAGTAGTTTGCTACCCATGAGATTAGTTAGTGGTCATTACGGAATGAAGAAAACTAATTTCACTAATGTGGGAAGCATTCAAAGAGAATTCTTTGAAACTAATCCAATGACTTAATATCTAGTCCTAGTCCTGCCAGTTGACATTCTAATGATTTGAGGCAAATTAATTAACTTTGTAAGGCTCAGTGTCTCCATCTCATAAGAGGGTGAAATAGCATAACTTCTGCTTGCTTGTCAAGATTGGATGTGAAATCATTTCATAGAGTGCTACATTAAAAAACCGGGACTGAAAACTAGAGATTTGGGATAAGAAAAGAACCTCAGAAAGCAACTAATTCTACTCCATTATACAAACTCTTCAACTGAGGTTCAAATAAATTAACTTGCCCAAGGCTGTGGGAGACATGAATTTTTTCCAGAAGAGCAAGGACCTTCTTTGGGAAACATTCTTCAAAATATATGGTTTTACTGAGGTCTGCCTCAGTAAAAAAAAAAAAAATCCTTTTTACCCACCACCACCCCCAAACACTTCTTGCAAACGGGGAGATCATGTGGCTCAAGCTGGGCCAATTATAACTACTTATCCCTCTGACCACATTCATTGGCCCAGCACTGAAAACGTGCCCCCAGCACTTCTGGATTTTTCAAACATAAGCTCAGAGGAAAGTACGTTTTGCTCTCTGCTTAAAATCTGCCACATAGTTGCCCTGAATAAATGTTGGCCAACATAAATATTATTGACAATAATAATCACAAAGTTAATACACTAATATCTAAGTACTATTAGCACCTACTATCATTGATAACTCAATCTTAAACACTAAAGCTAAAGGGAGGTAACTTGGGGCATTAGAGTAAGATCTGCAGGGGAGGAAAGAGACTGGTCTTGCCAGACCCCTCAGATCCAGGACAGGGATACCAGGAGCCTGTTTCCCCACTCTGGAGTCTACCTTTACCTTCACAATCCATGTCAGTCCTTGCATAGCTCACAGGTGATCTTAAGGCTGTCCAAGGCAGTCAGTCACTCCACATTTATTGAAAAACTACTGTGGGGGATCCCTGGGTGGCTCAGCGGTTTGACGCCTGCCTTTGGCCCAGGACGTGATCCTGGAGTCCTGGGATCGAGTCCCGCATCAGGCTCCTTGCATGGAGCCTGCTTCTCCCCTCTGCCTGTGTATCTGCCTCTCTCTCTCTCTCTCTCTCTCTCTCTCTCTGTCTCTCTTTCTCTTTCTCTCTCTCTGTGTCTCTCATGAATAAATGAATAAAATCTTAAAAAAAAAACTACTGTGTGCATAGCAGGTGCTCTGTTCCCATTGAAGTTACCACATTTCATTTTCTTCTCGTTAAAGTTGCCATAATTTCCACTACCCTAATTTGAGATATTACACTCTCTAGAATATAGAGAATATAATATATATAAGGCAGTCATTTATATTTAGCTATTTAAATGTATATATCTTATTTGTGTAAATGGGAGGGAGTAGGGGAGAACCCAATACCTTTACTGAATATTTTAATTGATGTGGGGGAAGAAATCAATTCCAAACAGAGGATCTAGTTCCACTGTATTTCTCATCCCCAGTGAGGTTCAGGATGGAAATAATTGCTGGGCATTAGCTATTGTCACACTAACAGATGCCATTTAGTGGACCCCAGACAAAACAAACAAGTAAATGGCAGTCTATTTATGGGTCACTTTATTCTTTACTGCTATAAATAGCTTGTCCTTTGGGCATCATAATAGGTCTTTGCTCTGTATCATGTGTGAACGTGTTACTTTTCGCTACTTAACATCTGGACACTCTGATAAGCATAAGTATATATGAACATCCAGATCAGAGTGATGAAAAAGGTGCTTCCTCATTTTAAATCACTAGGTCTACTGCTCTACTCCACATAATGAATTCCCTAGATGGCAGAAGAGTCAGTTTGAAAAACCTGAAAAAGTGATAAGCGTAATTTTAACAAATTTTTCTTACATTAATATGATTATTACTCTCCCCTAGAGTTTGAAAAATAATTTCATGATGCCTCTATTACTCCTTGAAGGCCTTCAGGTTTATCTAGCAATGGACAGTTAATAAGCCAGCCTAAGTGAAGGAATAAATTTTCTGGTACATTCAGTGTTCTAGGTTATAAAATATTATACACACGGTATACTGATTCTCAAAGCATTAGGAAACAATAAAATACAATTAATAGGCCACAAATTAGATTTTTATTTTCATGATTCAAAGGCACTTCAAGATCTTCAAATTCCTTGAAACTCAAAGTGTGATTGTTGAACCAGCAGCATCTGCATTTCTTGGGGGCTTGTTAAAAATACAGAATCTTGGGCAGCCCTGGTGGTTCAGTAGTTTAGTACCACCTTCGGTCCAGGATGTGATCCTGGAGTCCTGGAATCGAGTCCCACTTAGGGCTCCCTGCATGAAGCCTGCTTCTCCCTCTGCCTGTGTCTCTGCCTCTCTGTGTGTGTGTGTGTCTCTCATGAGTAAATAAATAAAATCTTAAATAAAAATTAAAATACAGAATCTCAGACCCCATCCCAGAGTCACTGGATCAGAATCTACCTTTCAACAAGGTCCGCAGGTGAATGGTATGTACATTAAAGCTTGAGAAGCACTGTTAGTACCACAGGATGGTTGATTTAAACATGACCTTTGTAGCATAAGTGTGCGCAAATGTCGAGTAATCGATAGGGTTTGGATTGGTAAGAACTAGACAGGGCACTTAATTTTGTAGTTCATCTACAACATTAATTCATTTAGTTTGGCTTGAATGAATAGGAATAGCTTCATCTACAAACAGACAAAGATTTGCGCCCTGGAAATAAAGACCTAACTCGCTTTTGTATAAGTGAACATTTCTGCCATAGCATCTATATTTGAGGAGCCCAGATTTTCAGAAGAAGAACCCAAAGTAAAGCAGCATTCCTGATGTGCAAACAGAAGCTCTTGTGCCTATTGATCCTCCTCGGTCAACTCAGTTGCGTAGGCTTTTAATTAATGCTTGGGAAAGGTGTAAAAATAGTTTATTGGATACTGTGTTATGTGATACATGTGGCCTCTGGAATGTGAGTGGCACAGGTTCTGAACAATTGTGTATTAGACTCCCTAACCTACTTCGAAATGGGCATCATCATGCAGCGGCTATCTTCTAGGGGGATAAAATGCAACAGCACGTCCCAAGCTGCTAACCCAGTGCCTGGCCCGCGGGGTGTGACATTTCTACATTTCTGCGTGTGGGGTTTTGTCATATTTTATTTCGCACTGACCTCCTTTTAGAAATAACGTTTTGGGGACGCCTGAGTGGCTCAGGGGTTGAGCGCCTGCCTTCGGCCCAGGGCGTGACTCCGGGGTCCTGGGATCGAGTCCCACATGAGCTCCCTGCGTGCAGCCTGCTTCTCCCTCTGCCTGTGTCTCTGCCTCTAATGAATGGATAAATAATTTTATTTATTTATTTTTAAATAACGTTTTGAAATGTGTTTCAGAACTGTTGTGTCTAGGGCAGAAGCCTTGAAAGGCCGCAGGAGGGACGAGCGGAGGAGCGGAGCGCAGGCCTGTAGGTGGCAGCACCGAGCCCCGCGCGGCGGTCAAGTCCCGCCGCCCGCAGGGACGCGCAGAGGTTGCTCCCACGCGCGGAGAAACTGTCCTTCCCGCTACCTGCCGCGGTTTCCTTTTCGCCTCCCTTCCCTTCTCTGCAGGTGTCTACGTTTGATTGGCTTCTCTATTCTGAACTTAGAAAACTGGTCTCTTTGCCCTCTCTCCCATCAGTTCCTTTTGGCTCCCATCCAAAGAGCTGCGTCTTCCTCCTCCCGGCCACCCTGGGGCACCCCTGCTCCCATCCCCACACGCTTTTTGGCAAACCACATACAATAAATTGCAAGCCATCTGTAATAAAAAAGCACACTAGGTACCTGTAACTCACTCGATCCCTAAAACCCTGGTGGGGAGATAGGGGGTATTGTCTGTCGGTGGCCTGCTCAAAGTCGGACTGTAGACCAGGGTTCAAACACAGGCGTCCTGGTTCTGGAATGGGTGTCTTTCTTTAACGCCACACTGAGCTGCCTCTTAAGGAAAGATTGTAAAAGCATTTTAAAAGCCTGTATCAGGGAAATCAGGTAACTGCAAATTGAAGAGATCTGAAAAAGGAAGTAAGTCTCCACTCTTCTGGAGAATTCCCCAAATGCAGGTAATAACTCTTCTGGCCCACAAACAGTCAAGGTAATGGGCTCAGCCATGGCTTAATCTGGGCTTTCACCAAGGCAGCAGGGAGAGTGGCAAGAAAACAAGCGAGTCCCATTCAGTGCGTTTGGAAGAGCAAGAGGAGTTTCCTTTTCCCAGGTCCTGAGTAAAGCTACGCCCAGTCGGATGAATGTCAAGTCCTGACCCATAGGGTTGACTCTGTGTCTTCAATCCCATCACACTGCTGGGGGTAGGGGGTGGGGGTGGGGGGAACCACTTCTCCTACTTTCCCCAGGCAGAACTAAAAGAGAGGTAGAGGGGTGCCTGGGTGGCTCAGTGGTTGAGCGTTTACCTCTGGCTCAGGTCATGATCCCCGAGTCCTGGGATCGAGTCCCCACATCAGGCTACCCGCAGGGATCCTGCTTCTCCCTCTGCCTATGTCTCTGCCTCTCTCTGTGTGTGTGTCTCAGGAATAAACAAATAAAATCTTTAAAAATAAATAAATAAATAATAAATAAATAAAATCAAACAGAGGTAGAGTGGAGTTCGATACTTTCTTTTTTGGTCTTTGGAATCCAACAGGCCAGGGTTCAAATTTGTATTTCTGTACTTACTTGAGGATATGTAACTTCACGGATGGTAAACCCATTTCCTGGTCTGCAAATGGATCTCTTGGTAGCACCTGCCTTGGAATAACACAGGATAATCCAGGCAGAGCCGTTCATACGGTGCCCAGATGCAGGGAGAGCTTCACCTGGGGTTTTTGCAGCAACACTTTCAAGGGCTTCCATTTCCAGCTTCTATGTGGTCCAATCAGGGACTACACTCCCCTGCCTCCTGCCAGATGAGTCGCTCTGATGTAGAGCAGCATGCTGTAATTCCTTTGCTCACAGACCTGCCCCAGCTTCCACGGCTTGGAAAAGAACATTGAAACTCTTCACCCTGACTACGAGTGTTTGCTACATGTCCCTCTCCCGTTACCGGTACAATCAGTGTCCTTCATAAAGGTTGGGCTGCAGCCAAACTAAAACATGTGCCACACCCACGCCTGTCCTCATGGTTTTCCTTTTCTGTCACTTTACTTTCGCTGTTTCCTCTGCCTAGCCCTTTAAGTCCTGTCCTGCCCAATACCATAGCCACTGGCCACCTGTGGCTGTCTAAATTAATTAAAATTAAATTTAAAATTCTCTCCTCAGTCACACTGGCCACATTGCCAGTGCTCAATAGCCACACATTGTAGACAGCGCAGATGATAGCACATTTCCATCACTGCAGAAAGTTTAATGAGACCTTGCTGGCCTAGAGCGTGAGTCTAAATCCTAACCATCCTTAGGGACCAGCCCAAATGTCACTGATGCCACAAAGCCACTTCTGTGCCTCCCCAGCTGCAAGTTATCTTACCCAAAGCAGCAGAAATTCTGCTGGCCATGACTCACCCAGCTGACTGGTGACCACTGAGACAGCCAATGTCCCAGGCCACATGTCACTTTCAACTAAAGCAGCACTTTGGTTTCTGAGCTGCATGTGGTAGATGGGTGGACATGGAGGCTGGAAGAACCAAGGGATGGAAAATTTAATCTTGGTTTTACAGAAGTTTGGAGCACCTACTATATCCCAGGCAGTCTTAAGTAGTTTACATACACTGTCTTATTCGATGCTTTCAACTCTATAAAGTAGATATCATTACCCTTATCTTACATTTGAGAAAACTAAGAACATTGTGGTTAAGAAACCTGCCCAAGATGTGGTATGCTTGGTATGCTAACATACCAAGAAATAATCAGACCAAATGCAGAATCCAGATCTTTGTGATTCGAAGTTGGGGCTCGCTCCACACACATGCAGCCTGTTGTGAGGTTGTCTTCATTGCTTTCAAGCTAATGAAATGACTTCGGGAAGAGCTGGAGAAGAGGAGGGAAAGAGGGAAAATATGAAAAGAATCATGCATAGAACTGCCCAACACATTCATGTAAATGTGTTACCTTATTCTCATCTTGCTTCTTAATTCTCTAAAGTCCCAAAAGAGGAAGATTAAGTCAGTGTGTGTGTGTGTGTGTGTGTGTGTGTGTGTGGTCTTAGTACAGGTATGGAGGGTACAGGAAAAGAAGTTAAGAGAACACAAAACAATGAAATGACAAAACAAAAAAAGCGTTCAATATCTCTTCGTCAATGTCTGAAAATATTTTACAGTATTAGGTAGAACCATAGGAAACTGCTATATTTGTAAGTAACGATGGTTACATACTAGCACTTTCCTATGGTTCACCCTAATAATTTTTTATCAATTATAAATGAGTTGGTTAGTTTAATTTTACTCTCAATTTTTATCAATTAGAAACATTGGCTCGTTGGGGGTCCTAGCCCTGAATTTAGCTCAATCCAAGTATGAATGCTTTAAAATCCCTATCAGACACATCTGGGGCACAGAAGTGGTTCCCTCTGCCTGCAACCCTCCGGAACTTGGAAACAGGGAAACCAGGCTACTTTCTGAGCCTTCAACTCCCTGGAAGCCATAAATCATCTAACTGGAGATAGAAAGTCCTCTGGAGGAGACTGAGAGGCTGCCCCAGGTAGCTACTTGAAGAGGGCATTAACATATCTAAGGAAAGAATGTGGATCTCAAAAGGAGAAAAGTGGGGGCAGGGCTTGGAAAAGGAGGACAGAAGCTGGTCCTGGCTTCCAGGCTCGAAGTGCTATCTGGCCTGGTGGAGACAGATGAACAACGCCATTAAGATAAGCCAACTCATCTCCCCTGCGACTCTGGCTTTCCTTGGGGTTTATTCTGCAGGGGAAGGAATTCCTTGGCCTCTGGTATCCATACCTAAAAATGTGTTAGTGTTTTTAAGGTTGCAGAGAAACAAGGCAGTTCCATACCCCAGTCATGCATGCCCCAGTCTGTCCCAGTCTCCTTCCTTGAACCATATCTGAATCACAATGGTCAAAATGAAAGTTGGTCCTACTTGTGTAGGAACCTGGTAGAGATCCAGAGAGAAAGTTAAATTCCCAGAATATTTATGTTAAGGGGAAAAACCTATGATTCCAAATGTGTTTGGCTAAATTCTTATGTCTTTACCAGAGGCTAGTACCTTGTGACATTTCACTCCCTATTAAACTGATACCCATAGTTTAATGGACATATTTAAGCTATCATCACAAGCCAAACTACCTTGAAATGTTAACAGCCCCGATCAAAGACAAAAATAGGAGTGAGGAAAGTCTACCCTTGTAAATGTGAATGGTCACATGTCCTCCTATACAAATGGGTTACTTCTGACCCACAAAAAGCAGCTCACTTTAAGATATAAGTGTACATAGAATTTTTAAAATAGTGTATGATATTTATTTTAGCTATCTTTACAAAAAGTCTTTGAAGTCTTATAAGAAAGATCTCCTGAGGTTCAAATCGGTTTGTTTAGTGATAAATTGTCCTTGAAATGTGGAACTAATGTTTCTGCTTATTTCATTTAATATTTTTAAAAGCTTTGTGGCCAAATCATCTCATCTTTGGAACTTTCTAAAAGTCTAGAAATAACTTAGAATTTAAGCAACGCATTTCTATTACATTTTTCTTTATTTCAACTGTGATGTTTGTGATTTGGTTTTTAAAAATACTCATGGGGGTGCCTAGAAGCAGCCTCAATCAACCAACCCATATTCCCTCGCCAAAGAACAGGTCATTTAAAATATTTGAGAGGTCAAGATGGACCTGTAGTGAAAATACACAAAAAGCTTCTCTTTGTTTTTCAGGAAAATGTGAATAAAGGGGCCAGCAGCTTGTGTTTTTTTATAATGCCCGACTCCAAAAAATTCAAAACGCAAGCAAATGTTTAAAGTTTGGTTAATATTCAAAAATAACCTCTGAACAATATGGTCCTCCTTTGAAAGATGAATAAAAATCCCATAGAAAGGAGCTGACCGGGATCCCTGGGTGGCGCAGCAGTTTGGCGCCTGCCTTTGGCCCAGGGCGCGATCCTGGAGACCCAGGATCGAATCCCACATCGGGCTCCCAGTGCATGGAGCCTGCTTCTCCCTCTGCCTGTGTCTCTGCCTCCCTCTCTCTCTTTCTCTCTCTCTCTCTCTGTGACTATCATAAATAAATAAAAATTTAAAAAAAATTAAAAAAAAAAAGAAAGAAAGAAAGAAAGGAGCTGACCTGGCCAGCAAGGGCTTGGTGGATTCCAGCTGGCATCTTCAGCATTAGCTAGAGTTACCTGATGGCATCTGGAGGCCTGGGGTCCTGCCTCTAACCTGGACCATGATCTCAGTCCCTACTCTTTTTCTTCAGATCATCTCTCAGGCTTGGCCTGTATCTGCAGACCATTGAGCAGAGATTACTGCTGATGGTCAGCCCATGGGTGATAGTGAAGATGGACCAGAAATGACCTGCTCTCTTTTAGAAGCAGCAATCCCTGGTTCCCTTGCCCCAGGGCACTTCCAGCCTCAGCATTTAGTGCCGTCTTCACTGAAGATTGGAATCTATTTAAGGGGTAGGAGCAATAATTTAGTTATCTTTTCATCTCCCTGCTCTGAAACTGAGGTTGTCATAAACCAGGACAAAACAAAGGTGGATTGGCGCTCCCGTGTGGCACAGACTGTTGAGTGTCTGACTCTTGGTTTCTGCTCAAGTCATGAGATGGTGGCCAGCTCCACACTGGGCTCTGTGCAGAGTCTGCTTAGGATTCTCTCTCCCTCTGTTCCTGTGTGTCTTCTCTCTCTCTCTCTCTCTCTCAAATAAACTAATAAATCTTTTTTTAAAAGTGGATTATTTTGAAACTTGAATACCAGTGCACCTCAGGCAGAATGGACACCCTTAACTCTTCTAGCCTCATGGCAATTTAAATAGATATTAGTGTGGATACAGTTCCCTAAACCAACCTGCTAAGGTTTGTTTTCATTGGATGCAAAAAAGATGTACGGTTGTAGAAAATGAGTGAGGCCATTATCATATTCACGCAAGCTGTGCTTAGAAGGGCCCCACACTTGGTTTAATGATCTGCTGTCAAGGTCTTAGAATTCTTAATAATTTTGAACAAGGGGCCACTTGCATTTTTATTTCTCATTAGGTCCTGCAAACTATGAGAGTCCACTTGGTTCTTGGGGGCCTTCTGAATCACAAACAGAAGACCTGGATCTTATTCCTACATGCTTTGACTTCAATTGGCTTTTCACTCAAGGCTTTTATCATCAGCGTATTCTCCAACTAAGTACGGGCAGCACTGTGCTCTTAAACAAAACTATCGATGATGCTGTAAATGCACATAGTCATCTTCATTAATATAAAATAGCAGCAAACAGCCAAGTAAGTTGTTTCTGTGATCTGCCAATTCAACCTCATATTTGAGGGTCTACTGTATGGCAGGTACTGTGTTTGGCACTGGGGGTAGCAATATATAAGCAATCACGGCCTTTGCTTTCAATGGGCTTCTATTTTAGTCAGGAGAAATAGATAATAAACATAAATGGATAAGTCAACTGCACATTGGAAGATGATCGACTGCAGAAAAATAAAGCAGAAAAAAAGGCAGTGAAGGTGTTTTAAATAGGATGGTTAAGGAAGAACTCAACAAGATGATGTCATGTGAGCCAAGTTTTGAAGGAAATAAAGGCATAGGTTGTGCACTTAACAGGCTGAGAAACAGAAGGTACAAAGACTCTAGGGCAGGTACTCACTGTTGGAGGAAGAGCAAGAGAAAGGAGGGAGTGAGAGAGGAGGAAACAATAAAGGCATAGAGATGATGGAAGCCTGATTTTGTGTGGATGTGTAGACTGCTGCAAAAAACTTTACTTTGAGCAGGAAAGAAAGTGATGGTGGGGTTTAGAACCTGGAAGTGACAGGATGGGATGAAACCTGACTTTTCCAGCTGTTGTGTGGAGGGGCAAAAAGGCAAGTAGGGTGAAACCAGGAGACCAGATAGGAGAGTATGGAAGCCATGCAAATAGAGGTACTCAGGGTCTGGACCAGATGATTGGCAGCAGAGGTGATGAGTTGTAGCTGAATTTGAAATTTACTTGGAAGGTAGAGCTGATGAGACTTCCCTGAAGGGAAACCATGAATAGTAGCAACCACCATGATAAAAATACTAACAAGATCTTAAACCATATCCTTCAACCAGCCTAACTTCTGGCCAACTTGGCTTCCAGTGTTAACTCGGTCCATCTTCATTGTAACCCTGGATGGGAATTATTATCTGCATTTTGCAGATGAGCAAATAGGACTCAGAGGGCTTATGTAACTAGTAAGTAGAGTAGACACTGATCTCTGTAAATCGAAAAGATTGCCAGCACACTATGCTGGGTAGATCCTGGACTACAGAGTCAGCTCCAGAAATAAATAAATAAATAAATAATCAAACAAACAAGCAAACAAAAGAGAGCAAGCAAGTTCTTTTTTAGACTCTGAACGTTCTTCTCTGTCTACTGGCTGAAAGGGTTGCTAATGGTGAGTTAGCACTGGGGTACCATAATGAACTTTGTGCTGGGAAAATGAGACATCTCCTACCAGGCACTAATTTAAGAGAAATGAGTTCATTCCGTTCTTTGAAGAACTTTAACAACCATGGGATTATGCCAGTAGGGTAGAACCTGAGCCAAAGAGATACTCACTAAGGTGGCTTCATACCAGCCACTTTCACAAAAAGCCCAGAGCTGCCCCTGGGGTTGTGAGGAATGGGAGGCGTGAACTACATAAATGGCTTTAGAGTTGATGGGAAGCTTTCACCCTGGGGCCCGAATGGACTGAAAGGTATCTGCCATCCTAAAGGGGAGGCGCAGAGAAGGGGGTGGGGAGCTGTCAGCTGGAAGTGAAGGATGGAAAAGGGGCTGGGAATGAAGCCTGGGAGCCTGGTTAGGAGAGGCAGTCGTAAAGTAGCTGGCTCATCTTTGCCAGTCTAACAGGGCCCTCATCAAAGAATGGGATGAGCTCATGTACTTGTTGGAGGACTGCCACCACTTGTGTCCACACAGTTTATTGAAAAGTAAGAGCTTTGTATGGGGGACAAGGAAGGAGACATGGGCTGCTTCTAAAAATAAATAAACTGTGGTGATGTTCTGGTTACTAATGCTGCACAACAGTCCACCCCAGAACCTGGTGGCATAAAACAAGGACTTTATTATGCATATGGAGTCCATGTGTTGGGATTTCGATAGGGTACCATGGGCATAGCTTACCTTTGCTCCGTGACGTCTGGGGTCTGACTAGGAAACTACAAAAATTGGGAGACAAGGTGATTTGAAATCTGTAGACTGAAATCTGTAAGGATCTTCACTCACATAGCTAGTGGATGATGGCTATTGGTGGGACTTCACTTGGGACTATTGGCGGGAACACATGACCTGGGTTTCCTCATGGAGTAGCAGCTGCATGAGAGTCAGATTTCTTACATGGAAGCTCAGGACTGCAAAGGTTAAGTATCCCAACAAAAAAGGTGGCAACAGGGTTGCTTTTAATGACTCAGCCCCAAAAATCTTGCAGTCACTTTTCCCGTATTTTATTGGTTATAAGCAAACTACAAGCCCATCTTAACCCGAGGGTAAAGGACAAATGTCAAAGAATTTGTTTGCATGTTTGAAACCACCACAGAGGAGCTGAAAATATCCTGGCAATTGGTAAGCCTTGCACTTATCCCAAGATCTGGGAGGAGAGAGGAGGGTGCTATGACCTGTAGGGGGTGTCACGCTCCAGCAGGAAGTGCTTACATCTGTTCTCTGCTCCTTTTCCTCTGGCCATCGCTCCCTCTTAATCTCTGAAACCACATGGATTCCCCCCTACCTAATTTGGTGGCTTTGGGAGGACATTATTTTCCTAACAGTTCATCAGACTCTACAAATTCACTCTTACCTTCTCTTGCTCCTTTATCCACATGTGTATTTCTCCTTCCTTATCAATGGAGTAGGATTCCAGATGACCTGAGTTTGAGTCCTCGCTCCAGAAATATTTGGTCATTTCTACAGGTGGCATGACCTCTCCGAATGTCAGTTTCCTCACCTACAAAGTGGAAGTTTTGTGACAATTAAAAGGGTTGATGCTTGGCAGAGAAAAGCCTTTCGAGGACTGTCAACTGACCTGGGCTTAAACTGCCCAACATAATTCCCTCTCCCTTTTTTCCTAACAACTTTCCTACTTCTTATACTTTGCTCATAGTCTGCACATGGACAGACCATATTCACATCCTGACCCCCACATCTATTAGGTATGTAGCCTCGGAATGTCCCTTTACCCCCTTGAGCCTCAGCTTGTCATCTGTGTACAATGGATGCTAATACAGGGCTCGAGGGTATTTGCGTAGATAAAGTGAAATCATACATATGAGGCAGCAGCACCAGCCCAGGCCCTTGTGAAGGTTAATTCCACAACCTCCCCCATCTCCACCCCCTACCATAATTCCATCTTTTTGTCTTTGGTATTACTGTGCCTCACCGAAGTGGGCAAAGTTCAGTCTACTTAAAGATTCACAACTTTCTTTCCAACTCCATCTCGTGCACGTCTTTCATCAATAATCATTCTCAATTTCCCGGTCACCCACTATGAAAATTCAAATGCCTGAACCTTTTGTGGGGGGAGGTTGCTTAGAGATAAAATGATCTACGGATCCCTGAGAAGAAAGTCCACAGGACAGCGCATATCACAGTGGGCTGCCTTGCCTGGAGGCCTGGGTAAATACCTTAACCAGGCCTGACTCCAGCCCCCTGGTGGGGAGGCTGACACCCGCCGGCTAAAGGGAAAATCCCTCTTGCTGGATGACTGTTACTCAACTCCCAGCCTTTGTACTAAAGGAGCAAGACGGGGGCGATGTTGCCAAAGCCCAGGGTTTTCTCATTCAGGACTAAACGGAGCATAGCGTGACAGCAACTGCCGGGGTGTGACTTCCTCCCAAGGAAAGAAAAGCCTTAAAAAACTCTGCCCCCAAATGGGGTAGGCCTTAAGTGATCCCAGCCATCCTTGTAGTGTCTTTGCTCAAATACCCACCATAGCCACAAACATGGTCCCTGGCAGCCCAGCAGAAATCATTTTCCCAAGTAACTGTCAGTTTTTCTCCTCCTTCTTTTTAATGGAAGAAGTTATTTTCAGTGAAAAGATTCTGGATGTTTACATTCCTTAGACTAAGAGAAGAGACCCAGCTCCTAAGAAAGGTCTGGCCTGAAAGCTAAATGGGCATCTTCTTTCCCATTTCTTCCTCCACTGTCCTTTAAGGATGGAGTTGAAGGGTCATCTTTATTTCTCCCACATTATCCTTTGTCTGCAATCAGCTCACCAACTTATGCCTTCAACAAGCATTTAATGAACATCCCTTCTGTGCCTGGCTATGTAACTTGGGTCACATAAAAATGAATTAAGCAGGATCCAGCCTTTAAGATGGCCCATGCATGTTTTGGGAGGAGATGATGGGATGGCCAGATATGTGAGAACATGTAAATGTCATCAGGTATTTGAGTGCGGTGGTAGGGCGGTAGGGCTCGATAGCGCGGCCACACAGGAGCACCAACAACTTCTGATGATGAGTGAGCAATGGACGAGTGGGTGTTTGCTGTGTGGGAAAGGAGCAGGAGAGTGTTTCAGCAAAGGACAGCATGTGCAAAGGCATGAGGCAACATGACCCTCTGAAGAACCACAGGTCATTAGGAGCAAGAAGGATTTAGCCGGAAATGTAGTTGAACTCACTGGCTAGGCTTGAACTTGCCATGCTACCAAATCTGGGCTTTTCTCCAACCCTCAAGAGAGCTGCTCTTCCAAATTAGAACACCTGGCAGGCAACTTGCTGACAGCCACTCCCGGGGACATGAACCTGGTGTTTCCTCAGTTTCCCCCATCTGCAAAACATAAAATCGTTGATTCTCCAAGTCTTTGCATGGCCAGGATGAGTTACACAGAGACCATTATGTGGCTTCCAACTTTCATCTGCTTTATTGGTTCAAGAGTGAAAACATTCATTTATTTTTATGGGACACATGGGCTTGGGTTTTTTTTTTATTATTAAAAATAAAATTCTTGAGAAAAATTCAAAACTTTGGTTTCACAGCTTCCTGCAATATTGAGTTTGGACTCTGTGTCTCTCAGGCAAAGCCAGGAGGAACTGATCTATGGTGATTGACAATGAACCACATGGGTTTCTTAAAAAAAAAAAAAGAAAGAAGAAGAAAAGAAAGAAAGAAAGAAAGAAAGAAAGAGCAAATGGTTTCCCCTACTGCTTCCCTACATGTTGCCCCAAAAGAAAGACTCCTCATGATTTCACCTTCCTACTCTTCAAGGAACTGACATCCATGTAATAAGCTGGCCATTGGTGGAATAAGTAAGGCTTAGATATGGTTGTTTCACTCTGTGACCACCTAGGATGTCCAGTTTAACAAATGAGAAAATGGGATGCCTGGGTGGTTCAGTGGTTGAGCATCTGCCTTCAGCTCAGGGCATGATCCCAGGGTCCAGGGATCGAGTCCACATTGGGTTCTCCATGGGAGAAGAGGAAGCCTGCTTCTCCCTCTGCCTATGTCTCTGCCTCTTTCTATGTGTCTCTCATGAATAAATAAATAATATCTTTTAAAAAAGAGAAAATATTGCTAAAAAAGTGAAGGGAAGAGATGTCTCACTATTTCTTTTTTGAATAGAGTTGACATACAATGTTACATTCATTTCAGGTGTAATGATGCAACAACTTCCTAGTTTATGCTGTGTTCACCACAGCATAGCTCCCATCTTCACCAGACATTGCTATTATAACATTGCCGACTCTATTCCTCTCTCGCCTCTCCTTCTTGATTGTTCCTACTTCTCAGCCTCAGACCGCCCCCCCCCCCCCCACTTGAGACCTGATGTCTTCCTGCTAAGGTAGGTCTGTGTCTAAATTTACTCCTGTGTTGAGGGTGAGGGGTAGGAGTGGGAGTGTGGATGCTGTAGTGAGATCAGCCCAAAGTGGTGGGAAAAAGAGTACACTTTGCAAAGAGTTGAACTTGACTGGGCAGTTAGGTAACATAGGGCAGTGAGTCTTAACCTGGAGTTCGGGAAGGCCTTGCATCAGACCCGCCCACACTGCTTTCTTAGAATGGATGTTCCTTCCACCCCAGCTCAGAGTTCCTGAGTAGGACCTTTGGGAGCGAAGTAGAAGAATCTCCATTTTTGACAGGGTCCCAGGTAAAGTTAAAGAATTAAACTTTAAAGGGATTAAAGAGCTGAGTGAAGTAAGTCAATCGGAGAAGGACAGTGTATGTTCTCATTCATTTGGGGAATATAAATAATAGTGAAAGGGAATATAAGGGAAGGGAGAAGAAATGTGTGGGAAATATCAGAAAGGGAGACAGAACATAAAGACTCCTAAGCCTGGGAAACGAACTAGGGGTGGTGGAAGGGGAGGAGGGCGGGGGGTGGGGGTGAATGGGTGACAGGCACTGAGGGGGGCACTTGACGGGATGAGCACTGGGTGTTATTCTGTATGTTGGTAAATTGAACACCAATAAGAAATAAATTCATTTAAAAAATTTTAAAAAAATAAAGGGATTAAAGAATTAAAGGGAGTAAGTATTCTGGCTCTGGGGTCAGAGAAGGAGCATTCCAGCCCTGGGCATTGCTACTCATGTCACCAGGGAAGCCCCAACTGTCCTATATTATCAAGTTAATGATATCCCTACCTGTATCAGTAGGACTTGGTCAGCTGCAATAAACTGAATTCCCAACAGGGTCTTCAATAATAAAAGCATTTGATTCTCTCACACAACCAGAAGTCTGGAAAGAGTAATCCCAGAGTGGTCTAGTTCTATAGCTTTGTACTCCCGCTGGCCCATTCCTCCAAAGCTGCAAGATGGAAGCAAAAACACAGTCCCTCAAGCTTCCACGCTAAGGTCACAAGAAGAAAGGAAAGAGTAGCTGCAATAATCTCCCCCCACAAGAGTTTCTGTTGTGTTACCTAGGGAGAACTTACCATCCATATCGTTGATTTGGACACAGCCACCTTCCTAGGCAAAGGGCTGAAGAAAAGGGTCCCAAGAAAATGGAAACTCAGGTGCATGATAGGCTTTTGGGGAGGCTCTCTGAGACTTGGACATCTTTACTACCTGAATAAGTTGGCTCAGTGAGAAAGGAAGAAGCCAGGCATGACTGAGAAACAGGTGTATTTTCCTCTTAGTCAAGAACCATATAACAAACCTTGTGTTTCAGGTTTTTTTTTCCATGTCCCTTTGTGTAATTCAGTTGTAGCAACTAAATATTTCCATGTGTCCTCATATAGAACTTTGACTTCCTATTTTATTTATATTGTATTATATGTGTTGTCATTACTGTAAGATGGCTTGAACCTGGATAAAATAGGTAAACGCACACAAAAACCCTGAACAATAATTCAAGAATTCAGGAATAAGAGTGTGTTTTTTCTGCCCTAACTCCATGGAACAACCTCCCTTACCTTGAATTATCAACTGGCAGCCCTTGGTCTAAAGAGTTTCCTGATGGGGCTACCAAGAATGAACATCAAAACAATCCAGATTCAGGGGTGTCACCCCATCCCATCTCCATGTAGGAATGGGCTTGGAGCCAGGGCAGGAAGTAGGAGGAGATCAAGGTATTGGTCTAGTGGATACACTGGAGAGGGAACTGTAAACAACTCTCTTGAGGAGCCACAAGGCTATCACTATGAGATAATCAGTCTAGACTGTCTTCCAATGGCTGGGAGACACTCCCCCTCCAAGTGCAGCCCAGCAGAGCAGCCTGCCCCTTTGCCATGGCTTCCCAGCTGCTGCCACCATGGAGTTGTCAGGAAATTTGTGATAATTCTTTTTATTGATCATCTCTATTGATTTTGTCTATGGTGAAAATATACTGCAGACACGTTAAGTAGCTATTATAGTCAAATTGTCTCTTAATGAATTGTACCAACAGACAGGATTTTACATTTAACCCTAACTGGGACTTTGACTTTCTAGTCACTGAATGATCATAGAAGGGTTAGATTCTAGTGTAGAACCCAAGCTGATTTGACCGTGGTGATTTTCCTGGATACTGCTGAGGAGTGCTAAAACTTGCCCAAATGAAAATGTGGAATAATATCTCATTAGGAGATGAAACTGATCATCAAAAAAAAAAAAAAAAAAAAAAAAGCATGCAAGAATCAGCCCTGTGGCTCAAAAGCATGTAATTTTAGCCATTTCCCCAAAATTTAATTTATTTTCTAGCTGGTTACTTTATTTCAAAATTCCAGCAAAAAAAAAAAAAAAACAAAAGGAGGTTATCACTTTTGATGAACCCCCAATTTATCCCATATTTTATTTTTATTTTTATATTTTTAAAGATTTTATTTATTTATTCATGAGAGACACAGGGCGGGAGAGAGAGAGAGAGAGAGAGACATAAGCAGAGAAAGAAGCAGGGTCCATGCAGGGAGCCCGATGCAGGACTTGATCCCGGGACTCCAGGATCACGCCCTGGGCTGAAGGCAGGCGCTAAACTGCTGAGACACCCAGGGATCCCTTATCCCATTTTTTAATGAGGCTTTCCTCATTATCCCACTTTTAAGAGGCTGGAAGAAAGCAAGACTGTGCTTTATCAAAGAGTGTGCTTCTTCCCCCTTCATGTGTTTTTGTTTGTTTGTGTTTTCTCAAAAAAAAAAAAAAAAAAGGCAGTACACATGTGCGTGTGTGTGTATGCGTGCATGCCTGCATTTTGGCAAAACTGTATTCAGAAGAATGTTTGGAAGCTTAAATCTAATATGCTAAGTGTTAGCCAGCAGCAAAAATTTCTAATTCTGTTATCACATCCCAAAGAGAGGGCTTGAATTGGAAGTGTCACTTTGTGGTAGTGCTAGCAGATACTCAAATGATACTCTATTACCAGAAGCAAGACTTTGACTATTATTATTTTATAATGTAATGGGCAAAAATCACAGTAAAAATGCTATCTCTGATGGGAAAATACTTCTTTGCCAGACTCTTAAAAATTATAATTTCAACAATTTGGCAAAAAAAAAAGTCTTTATTTTTGACACAAATGAATTACGACTACAGGCAATGAATACAGAGACCAATGTCCCAATTGTATTTGGGCTTTGGTTTTGAGGAGAACAATCATTTAGGGCTGGTCAGATGATAAAACTGCACTTTCCTTACACAATATACGGGAAATGGAGTAGCTCTTCCAATCCTCACTGGCCAACACTCTACAGTCCTTTTGGTGCAGATTCAAATGAGTATTCCTCTCCAACTCAATAGAACCTAGATTGCTGCTTAGATCCCATGAACTGAACCATGACTGTAGGTCAGGCTTTAAGCTTAGAGCTTTGGTCCTTCTGTTCTTCTGTCAGCAGAGGCTCTATTCCAAGGCTGTTTTGCCTCTTGCTACAAGATGGTTGCCTACAGCAATAAGTGTTCATATGCTTCCCGGTTTACACTTAGCAGGAGAAAGAAAAAAAAAAGAAAAGAACAGAAAAGTATTCTCTCTCCCATCAGGGGATGCAAATCATTTCTATTTGTATGACTGGGCCAACTTGATCTTGTGCCCTCTTCTGAGCAAATGCAGATGCCAGGGAAAGGTCATGGACTCCTTGGTTTATACAGGTCTGGACATTTCTCTGGAGCTGAGGATAACATGGACCACTAGATTCATTTGGGGTTCTGTTCAGAAATGAAGAAGGAGATGGCAGGTGGGCAATCAAAGGTGTCTGCTACACAGTCTTAGTGCTTACTATGATCCTATGCCTAAAGGATGATTTTGATTCATGAGGAAATTGAGACTTTGAGTTATTAACAAATATGCCTAAGTTTATGCAGCTGACACCGGTTGAAGTCTGGGCTAGAATTAAAGCATATTAAGTGGTGAAAGCCCTTAACCTCATCACTCTACTGCCTCCCTTTAGTTGGAATGTTACAGGGCTATCATAGCAATGCCTTCCTTCATAAATGCTTATCATCTATGCCACAAAGAAATAGTATTTTCTATTAGTCATAATAGAAATATTGGCAAACAGGATGTCAGCAATCAATTCAGTTATCTATTGCTGCTTTGACTTATCCACTTCTGTCCCTCAAAACTTAATGACTGTTAAGGTAAGGGATAATTTTCTTAAAAAAAAAGATTTTATTTATTTATTCATGAGAGAAACAGAGAAAGAGAGGCAGAGACATAGGCAGAGGGAGAAGCAGGCTCCATGCAGAAAGCCCGATGTGGGACTCAGTCCTGGGACTCCAGGATCACACCCTGAGCTACAGGCAGATGCTCAACTGCTGAACCACCCAGGTATCCCAATAAGAGATAATTTCAAAGTATGGTAAAATCATGACTCTCCTACAGATATAAAATGAGCATGTGTTTAAGATTTGTTTAAGTCAATATTAATTAATTAAATTTAAATTTAAAAAAGAAAAAATAAATTAAGAATTAAATGAGGGAAACAGGTAAATTTATACTGATTCAAAGAAGAAGACAAACATAAGTTTGTATGGGGTAAAGGAATGTTGAAATGAAGATGAAAATGGGCATAATATTAACTTTTAGGGGAAAGGACAGCTTGTCCAGCCACTGGGCAGAATTCATTTGCATATCTATAGACAAAAATTATTTTAGATTGAGATCAGTTGTCAACAAATTACAGAGTTCTTAAACAGCTTCCATGGAATCAGAATCGGATAACTTGGGGCAGCTTGGGTGGCTCAGCGGTTTAGTGCTGCCTTCAGCCCAGGGTGTGATCCTGGGGTCCCGGGATCGAGTCCCATGTCGGGCTCCCTGCATGGAGCCTGCTTCTCCCTCTGCCTGTGTCTCTGCCTTTCTCTCTCTCTGTGTGTGTGCCTCTCATGAATAAATAAATAAAATCTTAAAAAAAAATCCGATGACTTGAAAGAATATACACAATGTTATTTTCTGCTACAGCACATTTTTTTTTCTATATTCCACTAACACTTAGTTTCTCATAACTTAATAATTAAACAGGACTCAGCTAGGCAGGTTGCTCTGCTGGCTTCACCTGAAACCATTCCTGTGGCTGTAGTCATCTGAAGGCTTGACTGAAGCTGGAGAACCCAGCCAGTTGGTGCTTGTTCTAAAATTTGTACCTGCAGGATTTTAATTTATGGAGGTCATTGAGTCACGACACCAAAAGTCTAATACTATTGAAAGATTTTCACTACTTACATTTCACAAGAGAAGGGGGCATGCCACACCATGCAGGGCTCCATGGGAAGTACCAGGTTTTGGTCAGGAAGCAAAAGCAGGAGCAAGAGGAAAGCCTATACCAGAGCTTTTATTAGGATTTAGGATTGGCTAGTTTGAATAACTTCAACAGGCTTTGGGACCTAGGGGCTGTCCTGAGCTATCTGATAGCTGCCCTTGGGGTGATTTAGGGCAAGGGAAATATTAGCTTGGAGTGTGAGAATGAGTTAAGCAGGTAGGCAGAGGCTTGGCACTGAATCAAGCAGTCTACAAAGGAAAGGCATGCTCCAGGCAAGCTGACCATCACCTCTAGGAATTAGCTGGCCATGGGAGGGGTAGTGTCTCCCCAGGTCTGAAATCCCTGAGATGTCAGAACATTACAAGATACAAAAAATAAAAAGCATGATTGATAGTGCTGCCATCTGCTGAAGTTCCTCGGTTCTACTCCACACATCTTCTCATACTCCCACAGGCTCAACAGGACTTCTCTACAGGCACCTGGTTCTAAGAGGGAACGCAGAAGCTTGTGATATTTCCGGAAACCAAGGCTCAGAAATGACATGATGCCACTTCTACTGCATTCGGTAGGTCAAAAGAAGACACAAGGATAGCCTAGGGTCA